TTCCCAAGGTTCAAAATTGACGCTCTAAACATGTCGGTGCTGCTGTATACAACCTTATTTGAATTCAAGGTAAAGTCGCAAGATATTGCCTGCAAGATTCCATTTTAGATGTTAGCGAATTGATGTTAAATTAATGATTGTTGGATAAGTTCGTTGTGTGTAGCCTGTAACATGGTTATTATGTATAAGGACAAAATCCCCGTATGTTAAAGAAGAAGGCAAAATTTAATGTACAGATGGTCAATCCGAAACAAATTTCAGATTACTTATATAACGACTGTTAGCGTTAAATAGCTGTGAGAACATTGTGAATCTTGTTGGTTCCGCAAAAGTGGTGCAAGCAGTTGCTAGTGTCCAGGTTATTTCAAATCGCAGCCACGTCAACAATACACCACATTGCTTCGTTACAGGAGCCCATGACCATTATGGGCTCCTGTTCGTTATCACTCAAACCAAAACGCGTTCTCAGTAATTTGTTGGACTCCGACAGATTGTAACTTGAAAATAATCGTCTTATAATAATGATAATGATAATGATAATGATAATGGTAATGTAGAGTTATAGTGGAAGCTAAAATCGTTACCAATTTACATAGTAAATAGTAAATAGTTACAAATTCACATAGTAATATTCTAACAAAGAAACAAAAGAAATGTGACGTACTGTCTTCTCCAGTGGTGATGATAATCGGTTCTGTTGCTGCTCCAAAGAGCTTCGTAACTTCCTTAATATCAAAGCTATAGTTGGTGTATTTCTGTAAATTGGTTATTTCAACCGTTACGTTCGTGATTGGTACTGTGATGTTGTATGTGGTGTTGTCAGCGGTATCTAACTGGCGATACGTAATGTAAAAACATTTTAGGACTCCGGCGACTAAATCTTGCGGGATTGGGTCCCAGCGCAGCAAAATTGATGTCGAGCCAGAGTTGATGCCCTGAAATGAACTTGGTGGACCTTGAAGAGCTGGAAGGAAAGCAAATAGGTGTAAGCAAAGGAGGGGAACATACGAGCATGTATTTATCATAGTGCATACAGATAATTCTTCAATGGCAAGGTTTGCAAACCATAGAGCCAACCATAAAGAAAAGAAAGAGAAAGAAAGTGAAGTTGTATAAAGAAAAACGACAGGCGTATTCAAATAAGTGAATCTTAGATCTTCTGATTTTTCTTATTCTAGATCTTTTTCTCAATATTGGTAGACTGAAGGGAAGAATTTAAACAATTTTGAGCATGAACCATACGTTTTATTGTTGAGACAAATAGTTCACTGGGTTGGACTACAAAATATGATGTTCTGGAGAGGTATTTGTCAAATCTACACACCTTCTTCCTCTGTTTTTACAGTGATAAAGGGGCTGGGTGGTCCACTTCCTTTAATGGTAAACGCCCTCACGTTTAGTTTATAAACTGTGAAAGGCCTTAGCCAACCTATAACAGCTTGAACGTTAAAGCCATCAAAAGTTATGTATCTAGTTGGTTGAACTCCATCAGCCTCTTTCAAGGAGACGTTGTAGCCTATCACGATGCCGTTAGCTTCATCTTGAGGAACAGGAGCCCAAAATAACTGGATCGCTGTCTGGCTAATGTTATAGCCGCTGAAATTTCCAGGGGATGCTTCTGGAACTGGAATGAAAGATAAATTAGACAAAATAGCAAACATTAAGTGAAGATTCCATATCAAGAGGTCTTTATGCACTGTTTCAGTACAACATGGCTCTGAGTGGCCAATGAGAGTGGCAGTAACTAAAACCGTGGGTGGTGGGTGTATGGGCGGTGCGTGTGTTGGGGCATGGTATGTGTGTGGATAGGTGTAAGGGTGCGCGATTGAGTAGGTGACTATGCTAAACGAATGAAAATGGATGAAATTAAGAAATGAGAAGGATTAACTTACCATCCTGATCGGTAGACACTGTTGTAGAAACCTTAGGTCCAGGACCTTTGGAGTTGAATGCGTTTACGGAAATGTGGTACACATGAAACTTTTTAAGGTTTACGAATCGCGCCTCAAAGTTGGTGGCGTTTTCTGTTATCGTCTCTGAAGCCGAGTCTGTAAGGGTCACATGGTAACCTTTAATGACGCCGAATTGACAGCATTCAGGCACAGGGGTCCATCTTACAACAAGAGAGGTTGAATTTTCTCTGTGAACTGTCAGGTTACTCGGAGGCTCACTTGGGGCTGATAAAAGAATCATAGACATCAAAAAGAAATAACAAGCAAGTACAGCATTTAAATGATCATGAATTAAAAATTGCTAGTATATGGAAAACCGTTGAAACAGGAGTTTAGGGACTAGAATTTTATTAATTTTATAAGAAAAAAAAATTGAGAAGATAGCCTTTAATATTTTATGTAAATGTAAATAGTCAATTTATTTTTTTAATAAACGCATTCATTCTGGCAATCTTATGGCTTCTTTAAGATTTCATGTTATAATAAGGTTTTTCTAATAACATTCTGTTTATCCTTAGTTAGCACGAGCGTTTAGCTCTGAAACGTTCCAAATGATTAATTGAAATTAACTGATTGATGTATTCTTTCCAACAGTCAGCTTGTTAGTCAGTAATACAGTCAGTCTGTTAGTTACAATCAATCAAACAGACAGTAAGTCAGTCAATTATACAGACAGACAGTAGTCTTAGATAGTCAGGTAAACATTCCCCCATTCATTAAGTTGACAGTTGGTCTGAGTCAGTGATACAGTCCGCCAAACAACCAATTAGTCATATTGTCATTGAGGCATACAGACAATAAAGCATTTAGTCTGCCAAGAGATCACGCAGTCAGTTAGCCACAGTCAGTACGTCAATCAGTCAATCAATCACTCAGTCACTCAGTCACTCAGTCACTCAGTGATCAATCGGTCGTTTGTACATAGTCCGGCAAAGAGTCAATCGCTCATAGTTATTCTGTAAATCAGTTCATAATTCACGCAGTTAGTCAGTTACTAGTAGTGATTTAGCTGGCTAGTTAGACAGTAGATTAGTCAGTCAGAGAGAGAACCAGTCTAGCAGTCAGTCAGTTAGTCAGTCAATCAGTATGACAATCGGCCGGTCCGTAACCTTTTTTTGGTTTGTCAGTTATTCGATTCCATAAAAAAGACAAAAATATAAAGCAACTGAACAATCATTCAGTCTGTTAGTTAAAAGTCTAGCCATTACTAACCGCCTTCATCTGTAAACAATTCCACAGCTGCGACAGGACCATCTCCAAAGTTATTAAACCCTAGAACTTCTATCCTGTACTTCGTGTACATCTTGAGCTCCGTAAAATTTGCCTCACGCACAGCCAAATCATAAGTATGATTGACCAAGCTTTGTAAGCCCCTCCGTTTTGTCACCTCATAGAAAAACAGCTTGTATCCTTGCATGATTCCATGTTGTTTATCGTCCACTATCTCTTGCCATCTGGCATATATACTGGATGTACTGGTGTTGTAGGCTGTCAGTGACTCAGGGGAGTCCCCAGGAGCTGAATTATGATGGTAGATACGTAAGTAGGATCGGAGTACAAGATTAGAAATGTAGGAAGAGTAGGCAAAAAAAAACACGATCCTCCTCACGATCATCGTCATCGTAGTTTTCATCACACCGCTTGAGGCATCTTAGGCTTACAAGGCTTAGCTCAGATCACTCTTATAACAATTATATCAAGACCGCACATTGTATATGAGGTGGTAAATAGCCAAAGAGGCACATAGCGCCGAGTTGGCCATAATCATCTCATATCCAACAATGCGAGTGATATAATTGTTTTAGTGATATACGCCCCCAAAAAATAGAAAACTAGACTAAAAAAACTGCACGTACGCTTAACGTCTTTGTAGAGCATGGTTTAATGGCTCATATACCGTGATGGCTACGCCAATAATAACTCTTAAATTGCGTTGTCCAATGATCCAGTGTCCAATTATTATTATCATCATCATCATCATTATCATCATCATCATTATTAGTAGTAGTAGTAGTATTACTATTATTATTATTATTATTATTATTATTATTATTATTATTATTATTATTATTACTACTATCAATTCAGACCCAATGAGCAATTGGCAGTCGAAGAGAGAGTTGAACCGTCTTCGGGGTGGAACTTTCAGGTCCTCGAAATCCCGACTCTACAGGGAAGAAAAATTAAGGACGCGAGCAGAAACGCCTGGTAATTCAGGATTCTTTCTAGATTTAGCGGGCTACAGCTGCGCAAGAGTACCGTCCACTAACCTTCACCATGGGTCCTAACTATAACAGAATCGTTTCTAGGACCGGGGCCCTTGACTGTGCGCGCAGCTACGGAAATGTTGTACAGCCTAAATATTTCCAGTCCCCCGACGCGGGTACTTCTGCCAGTATCTGTGTAATCAGTTCTTAATATTGCGTCGTCCGCGAAGAAATCGCTTGCATTAGCCTCTAAGACGTACAGCAAGAAGCCTTGCAGGTTACCGAGGACCAGACGGGGGTCCTCAATGTAGTTCCAGGTCACTTCAATCTCACGTGAACTGACATTGTGGGCGGTCAGGTTGACAGGGGAATTGATGGGAACTGAAAATTTAAAGGAAGAATCAAAAACAACTATCATACATGATTGAGGTAGAGTACGACATTGTTCTTCATGATCAGGGCCTTCTGAGTGTCAAAGTGAAAGATAGCGCTGGTTTGGGGACAACTAAAGGGGTTAAAAATACTGTGCCGTTGGATAGCGCGAATATTTTAGGGGTTTGTGGCTGGAAAATTAAATGCTGCTAAAGAAACCTAATAGGGACGTTTGCCATTCCATGCTAACAGATAGGTTACACTAGCAGAGTACGTTTTAATTCAAGACCATTCAACTCACCGGATTCATCCGTCATCCGATATACCTTCTCACTCAAAGGACCATCTCCTTTCATGGTAAACGCCAATATCTGAACCGAGTAATTCTGGAAAATCAAAAGGTCTGATACAATATACCCATGCACATCAGGTCCAAGAGTTATATTCCGTACCACCGAACCGCCGTCTTCCCTTTGAAGGAGAAGCCGATAGCCCAGAATCACGCCATCTTGGTGAATCAATGGCACATCGTTCCAATACACATTTAAAGCTGATGCGTTAGCCATGTGGAGCTGTAAGTCAGAAGGAGGTGCAGAAGGAGCTGTAGAAAGAAGCAAGTAAGAAGGTTCACGTCTCTCTGGCATTAAAACTTCATTGCTGATAGTTAAGCAGGGATTCTTAAATTTCTGTACGTCTTCCAAAGACTACAAGGCTTAACTCCTTGGGAGTCTCTAAACAATACATAACAACAACAGAAATTTAAGAAAAAAAGTTCGTAAAACACTTACTGCTATCATCGGTCCTGACTGTCACTGTAGTATCAACTCCATGTCCAACTGATGTCCTTCCAGCCACACGGATGTTATAAAGCCAATACTCGTGCAGCGAGGTAACAACGTAGTTTGAAGAGTCCGGTCCCACCTCTGCATAACCCTGAGAGTCGTCAGGATGATCAGAGCTGAAGTGATCCTCATCCCAGGCTACTCGATAGCCAATCAAAATGCCATTGACTAGTACCTGTGGAATTGAGTGATTCCACTGCGCGTAGATGCTGGTAGAGCTTGTGCTGCGGTATGCGACAATTACTGGTCCAACAGAGGGAACTGTGTGATATAATATGAGAAGCGTTTGGTTTCTTAATTTGTTAGCTAGAAAACCACTTATACCTGTAATCTTCAGTCACTTGTTTCACAATTCGACATTTCATTTGACATTAATAAGAAGTGAAGATCCCATTGTAAACTTTACGCTGTTTGTTACGTGTAAAAAAAAATTGGTCCTAGTGCAATATCCCTGCCTCCTCCTTATTGTGTACATTTCAGTAGTGGATTATTCGTGAGGGACTTCTCCTTGTTTTAGCTTAAGAATTTAGAACTCAGGAGAAGTGACTGCTCAATGAGGCAATGTTTAATAAGGAGGCAAAAATAAACATGATAGTCCTAATCTTCACAACTCCTGTTCCTGATACTTGGAGGAGGCCGAGCAACAATAACGTACCAAAACCTCTGGCTTCGAGTGGAAACAGCACCTGCACTCTTTTACTGTAAAAAGCTACGATATACAGCAAACAAGCTGGTATCTGAGCGTGCCTTTATGTTAATTACGTACCCCATTGAGCCGTTCTGACGTTGAGAACTTCAGAAATGAGGCCTTCAGATTGAAACGATACTGCCGAAACACGAAAGCCGTAATTGGTATACGGACGGAGTAAATACATTACGGCCATGATCGGAGGCACATTGCGGCGAACAACTCGAGATAGTGCCGCCCACTGAGATTCCGGGTCTTCAAGATTCTTGTAAAGGATTCTGTAGCCGTAAAAATATTTATCGTGCTGGGGAACGGAGACTGGATCCACTGTTACAGTGACTGAGTTGTGTGTAATGGTGGACGCCACAGCGTTTTTCGGTGCCTCGCAAATAACTGAAAAATACAAGTATGCATCTGTTTTTCGAAAGATGTATAACAGTAAAATTTAATGTCAAACCAATAAAGATGCTGATAAAACATCGAAACAGATTAGATGTATCGTCAAATTTCTTTACCTATAAGACACAATTTCACAGGTTCGGTTAAAATAAAGAAGTATTTCCCGTTCGTTTGTGGAAATTATTAGATAGTCTGATACTGTTCCAAGATTAAAAGGAGAATTTTGAGAGCGTTCTAGAGATATATCAGAATTAAAATTAATATACATATGACAAATACTCTGTTGAACGTCTTATTTTTATCTCCCTTCGCGGTGGAAATGTGGTAAAAAAAACAGTCTCTGAGCGTTTGATATCTTAGTCTACGTTAAGTACCCTCTGTAAAGCGAGTCGCAAGTTTCCGGTTTGGGCAGTTATATAGTTTCTTAAAAGAAACTAACTAGTTTCCATCATCAGTTTTGCAAATTTACAATAATCGACCTAAATGTAGGCCTCAAGTAGCTACGTTTAGTCAATTCACACTGGTGCAAGAGACAAATACTTCCAGCCAGAGGACAAATGAGGTAACTTAATTAGACAATAGAAGTTACAAGCTTACTTACAGTTATCGTCATCTTTATTTTCACAAGACCTCTCATCAAGGACGCCAAGGGATCCAAAAAAGGTTCCATTTTCCACAGCAAGTTGAAGATTCAGCATGTATTTCCATATTACGCGTTGAAATTTTAAAGTAAATGATATTGCAGCATTCCCATAACTGTTCGTAAAAACGAAATGAATAATATCAAGTGCTGACATCGTTTTTATTCCCAGAGATATTCAATACAAGTAAATGATAGTCAGTATTTATTGACTTATCGTTGTCCATCATGCTGAACTACTGTGTCATTCAAACCTGGCTTTGACGATAAAATGAGGTTTTTTCCAAGGTACTCTTGGCTGGTGAAAATGTATTTTAAAATTTAAGAGATAACATCACCTTTCTGAAACAGAGATATCTTTAATTTCCATTGCATCGCCAGCGTATATTTCATTCACCTGTGATATGAAAAAGCACAATGATTAGATTCAACTAATAATTTACAAAATAAACAACTAACTATATAATGAAAATAGACATCAAGTATTTATACAAAATATTATGAAACTTTTATTCAGCGAACGTATCCTATTCTTCGAGAAAGAAAGATGGCGGCGGTTGTACCCTTGGGAACCTATTTTTGCAATATTTGTTCCTGTACTGTACAACATTGGGTATGCTAGGTTTACAGTTTTTAGGACCTTTCTGTGCGTTTTTTATGAGAGTAGCTGAGGTTCATACGCTAAGAGTTATGGTTAAATGTACCAGATGTTATCTTTTTTCCTACGGATTGTTCTAACACATTTAACCATTAGGATTAAATACAGTAGTTCTCTGACTAAAATTTAACACCAAATATATAAGTTAGACACCCGTATGGGTAAATAGCCATGTTTTCCTATTTATCAGACAGAAGTATATTGGTCTACTTTTTTACGGGTGCGTAACAACTGTTTTACAAAGCGTTTTTCTGGTGCTGCTCTTCACTTTGCTCTCATCAGTTTTTCAGTTTATGCATTGTTTGCAACACTTCAAAAAAAACGTCCTTTCCTATAGCATTTGTTACCTAACAAACTAGTCGCCGCTTGTGTTCATCAAACCTAAGCTTCCTTGATTGGCCGACTACAGAACGTGTTCACTCACCAGCAGCCATGAAAATATTTATAACAATAAAAGAAAGCGTACATGTAAGAAAGAAGTACAAATCCCACAGGATTGGTTTGGTACATCAACATGGCCGACCTGTTATTAATTGTTTTGGGACACCGATATGGCTGCCATGACGTCATGTGCAAACATTCTGTACTCAACGCTTCTAGCTAGGTGTAAAAATGTTGCAAACTTATCTCACTTTGTTAGAAAACTCCGTTTTCCACAGATCAGCTCTATCGGAATCGTAAACAAGGTTCGAGAAGACAATTTTCAAACCTATTTCTGTATCCGGACCATTATCTGTGAAAAACACGACACAAAGATCAGCGCATCAAACAAACCAAACATAAACAGCAAGGCGAGTATATTCAAGACGAGAGTTCACTGGAAATAGCTTATGACTGCGGGTTCCCCAAAACCTGACCAAAACTACAGAATTTGTTAAAGAGACAAATAATCAACTCTTGAATTGATCCTTCTTTCAGGAACAGTCCCCTACAAAGCAGCAAAGAGTGGGATTTGAAACTGCTCTCGTTTTGTGGTCAGCGTGTTCTCCAACACCTTCTCTTGTTTCTCTTGAGTCAACCAAGATCCGGACCAAATTTTTAACTGTGAAATTAGAATTGTGGATAACACACAGGTTGACGATTGCAGTTTCCTTTGTAAATGATATGAAGGAAAAGGGGTTAAGGGGAGAAAAATAGAAGTAATACTTTTCCTGATACCAACTCACGCCCGAAGCTTTCTCGTGCCTCTGATGCCAAAGAATTCACGCTACTCAAGTTTAATATTTCTGTTTACATTAATTTCACACCTGCAGCTCTGCTGAGAATTAAAATCGCTGAGATGAACGAAAACGTTGTGTTTTTTAATTAAAGTACCAATAATTCATCAAATCATGACCATGACTGCTTTTTGCTAGGTGATCTTTGCATAGATTTTTTGCGATTTCATTTCTCAGTTTTCTCCTCAGTGTTTGCTTCGATTGAGAAGATATATCAAACGCTCAAGACGGTGTTTGACCAAATTTGCAAACACCTCGTAGTTCGTTAAAATTCTGCGCTATAAGTCCTATCTTCAACTCTCTTTTCGATGTTTGGAAATGTGGTCAAACACGGTCTTTCGTGTTTGATATATTACTTAAATTATAAACGTAAGCAACTCAGATATGATGACTCACCAAACGCTGGGTGCAGCTTCCCATCAAAAACACTTGTAAGCTCTTTGGAATACCAAATGTTTAAATTCTTGTAGTAAGCAATAGGGTATGTGTCTTTCCCTAGATAGTAGTCGCCGCGCGTCTTCATTCCGCTCGGGCTATTCCCGCAATGATAGGGCGGAATCTGACTATACCAGGAGTCAACGTACACAGTTAGCTTTCCGACCTGCTCCCATACGAGCCCGAGATAAAACCACACCCCCAGGGGTGGAGAAATGACCCGGGAACAGTACTTGTCTTTGCCATNACTGTGCGCGCAGCTACGGAAATGTTGTACAGCCTAAATATTTCCAGTCCCCCGACGCGGGTACTTCTGCCAGTATCTGTGTAATCAGTTCTTAATATTGCGTCGTCCGCGAAGAAATCGCTTGCATTAGCCTCTAAGACGTACAGCAAGAAGCCTTGCAGGTTACCGAGGACCAGACGGGGGTCCTCAATGTAGTTCCAGGTCACTTCAATCTCACGTGAACTGACATTGTGGGCGGTCAGGTTGACAGGGGAATTGATGGGAACTGAAAATTTAAAGGAAGAATCAAAAACAACTATCATACATGATTGAGGTAGAGTACGACATTGTTCTTCATGATCAGGGCCTTCTGAGTGTCAAAGTGAAAGATAGCGCTGGTTTGGGGACAACTAAAGGGGTTAAAAATACTGTGCCGTTGGATAGCGCGAATATTTTAGGGGTTTGTGGCTGGAAAATTAAATGCTGCTAAAGAAACCTAATAGGGACGTTTGCCATTCCATGCTAACAGATAGGTTACACTAGCAGAGTACGTTTTAATTCAAGACCATTCAACTCACCGGATTCATCCGTCATCCGATATACCTTCTCACTCAAAGGACCATCTCCTTTCATGGTAAACGCCAATATCTGAACCGAGTAATTCTGGAAAATCAAAAGGTCTGATACAATATACCCATGCACATCAGGTCCAAGAGTTATATTCCGTACCACCGAACCGCCGTCTTCCCTTTGAAGGAGAAGCCGATAGCCCAGAATCACGCCATCTTGGTGAATCAATGGCACATCGTTCCAATACACATTTAAAGCTGATGCGTTAGCCATGTGGAGCTGTAAGTCAGAAGGAGGTGCAGAAGGAGCTGTAGAAAGAAGCAAGTAAGAAGGTTCACGTCTCTCTGGCATTAAAACTTCATTGCTGATAGTTAAGCAGGGATTCTTAAATTTCTGTACGTCTTCCAAAGACTACAAGGCTTAACTCCTTGGGAGTCTCTAAACAATACATAACAACAACAGAAATTTAAGAAAAAAAGTTCGTAAAACACTTACTGCTATCATCGGTCCTGACTGTCACTGTAGTATCAACTCCATGTCCAACTGATGTCCTTCCAGCCACACGGATGTTATAAAGCCAATACTCGTGCAGCGAGGTAACAACGTAGTTTGAAGAGTCCGGTCCCACCTCTGCATAACCCTGAGAGTCGTCAGGATGATCAGAGCTGAAGTGATCCTCATCCCAGGCTACTCGATAGCCAATCAAAATGCCATTGACTAGTACCTGTGGAATTGAGTGATTCCACTGCGCGTAGATGCTGGTAGAGCTTGTGCTGCGGTATGCGACAATTACTGGTCCAACAGAGGGAACTGTGTGATATAATATGAGAAGCGTTTGGTTTCTTAATTTGTTAGCTAGAAAACCACTTATACCTGTAATCTTCAGTCACTTGTTTCACAATTCGACATTTCATTTGACATTAATAAGAAGTGAAGATCCCATTGTAAACTTTACGCTGTTTGTTACGTGTAAAAAAAAATTGGTCCTAGTGCAATATCCCTGCCTCCTCCTTATTGTGTACATTTCAGTAGTGGATTATTCGTGAGGGACTTCTCCTTGTTTTAGCTTAAGAATTTAGAACTCAGGAGAAGTGACTGCTCAATGAGGCAATGTTTAATAAGGAGGCAAAAATAAACATGATAGTCCTAATCTTCACAACTCCTGTTCCTGATACTTGGAGGAGGCCGAGCAACAATAACGTACCAAAACCTCTGGCTTCGAGTGGAAACAGCACCTGCACTCTTTTACTGTAAAAAGCTACGATATACAGCAAACAAGCTGGTATCTGAGCGTGCCTTTATGTTAATTACGTACCCCATTGAGCCGTTCTGACGTTGAGAACTTCAGAAATGAGGCCTTCAGATTGAAACGATACTGCCGAAACACGAAAGCCGTAATTGGTATACGGACGGAGTAAATACATTACGGCCATGATCGGAGGCACATTGCGGCGAACAACTCGAGATAGTGCCGCCCACTGAGATTCCGGGTCTTCAAGATTCTTGTAAAGGATTCTGTAGCCGTAAAAATATTTATCGTGCTGGGGAACGGAGACTGGATCCACTGTTACAGTGACTGAGTTGTGTGTAATGGTGGACGCCACAGCGTTTTTCGGTGCCTCGCAAATAACTGAAAAATACAAGTATGCATCTGTTTTTCGAAAGATGTATAACAGTAAAATTTAATGTCAAACCAATAAAGATGCTGATAAAACATCGAAACAGATTAGATGTATCGTCAAATTTCTTTACCTATAAGACACAATTTCACAGGTTCGGTTAAAATAAAGAAGTATTTCCCGTTCGTTTGTGGAAATTATTAGATAGTCTGATACTGTTCCAAGATTAAAAGGAGAATTTTGAGAGCGTTCTAGAGATATATCAGAATTAAAATTAATATACATATGACAAATACTCTGTTGAACGTCTTATTTTTATCTCCCTTCGCGGTGGAAATGTGGTAAAAAAAACAGTCTCTGAGCGTTTGATATCTTAGTCTACGTTAAGTACCCTCTGTAAAGCGAGTCGCAAGTTTCCGGTTTGGGCAGTTATATAGTTTCTTAAAAGAAACTAACTAGTTTCCATCATCAGTTTTGCAAATTTACAATAATCGACCTAAATGTAGGCCTCAAGTAGCTACGTTTAGTCAATTCACACTGGTGCAAGAGACAAATACTTCCAGCCAGAGGACAAATGAGGTAACTTAATTAGACAATAGAAGTTACAAGCTTACTTACAGTTATCGTCATCTTTATTTTCACAAGACCTCTCATCAAGGACGCCAAGGGATCCAAAAAAGGTTCCATTTTCCACAGCAAGTTGAAGATTCAGCATGTATTTCCATATTACGCGTTGAAATTTTAAAGTAAATGATATTGCAGCATTCCCATAACTGTTCGTAAAAACGAAATGAATAATATCAAGTGCTGACATCGTTTTTATTCCCAGAGATATTCAATACAAGTAAATGATAGTCAGTATTTATTGACTTATCGTTGTCCATCATGCTGAACTACTGTGTCATTCAAACCTGGCTTTGACGATAAAATGAGGTTTTTTCCAAGGTACTCTTGGCTGGTGAAAATGTATTTTAAAATTTAAGAGATAACATCACCTTTCTGAAACAGAGATATCTTTAATTTCCATTGCATCGCCAGCGTATATTTCATTCACCTGTGATATGAAAAAGCACAATGATTAGATTCAACTAATAATTTACAAAATAAACAACTAACTATATAATGAAAATAGACATCAAGTATTTATACAAAATATTATGAAACTTTTATTCAGCGAACGTATCCTATTCTTCGAGAAAGAAAGATGGCGGCGGTTGTACCCTTGGGAACCTATTTTTGCAATATTTGTTCCTGTACTGTACAACATTGGGTATGCTAGGTTTACAGTTTTTAGGACCTTTCTGTGCGTTTTTTATGAGAGTAGCTGAGGTTCATACGCTAAGAGTTATGGTTAAATGTACCAGATGTTATCTTTTTTCCTACGGATTGTTCTAACACATTTAACCATTAGGATTAAATACAGTAGTTCTCTGACTAAAATTTAACACCAAATATATAAGTTAGACACCCGTATGGGTAAATAGCCATGTTTTCCTATTTATCAGACAGAAGTATATTGGTCTACTTTTTTACGGGTGCGTAACAACTGTTTTACAAAGCGTTTTTCTGGTGCTGCTCTTCACTTTGCTCTCATCAGTTTTTCAGTTTATGCATTGTTTGCAACACTTCAAAAAAAACGTCCTTTCCTATAGCATTTGTTACCTAACAAACTAGTCGCCGCTTGTGTTCATCAAACCTAAGCTTCCTTGATTGGCCGACTACAGAACGTGTTCACTCACCAGCAGCCATGAAAATATTTATAACAATAAAAGAAAGCGTACATGTAAGAAAGAAGTACAAATCCCACAGGATTGGTTTGGTACATCAACATGGCCGACCTGTTATTAATTGTTTTGGGACACCGATATGGCTGCCATGACGTCATGTGCAAACATTCTGTACTCAACGCTTCTAGCTAGGTGTAAAAATGTTGCAAACTTATCTCACTTTGTTAGAAAACTCCGTTTTCCACAGATCAGCTCTATCGGAATCGTAAACAAGGTTCGAGAAGACAATTTTCAAACCTATTTCTGTATCCGGACCATTATCTGTGAAAAACACGACACAAAGATCAGCGCATCAAACAAACCAAACATAAACAGCAAGGCGAGTATATTCAAGACGAGAGTTCACTGGAAATAGCTTATGACTGCGGGTTCCCCAAAACCTGACCAAAACTACAGAATTTGTTAAAGAGACAAATAATCAACTCTTGAATTGATCCTTCTTTCAGGAACAGTCCCCTACAAAGCAGCAAAGAGTGGGATTTGAAACTGCTCTCGTTTTGTGGTCAGCGTGTTCTCCAACACCTTCTCTTGTTTCTCTTGAGTCAACCAAGATCCGGACCAAATTTTTAACTGTGAAATTAGAATTGTGGATAACACACAGGTTGACGATTGCAGTTTCCTTTGTAAATGATATGAAGGAAAAGGGGTTAAGGGGAGAAAAATAGAAGTAATACTTTTCCTGATACCAACTCACGCCCGAAGCTTTCTCGTGCCTCTGATGCCAAAGAATTCACGCTACTCAAGTTTAATATTTCTGTTTACATTAATTTCACACCTGCAGCTCTGCTGAGAATTAAAATCGCTGAGATGAACGAAAACGTTGTGTTTTTTAATTAAAGTACCAATAATTCATCAAATCATGACCATGACTGCTTTTTGCTAGGTGATCTTTGCATAGATTTTTTGCGATTTCATTTCTCAGTTTTCTCCTCAGTGTTTGCTTCGATTGAGAAGATATATCAAACGCTCAAGACGGTGTTTGACCAAATTTGCAAACACCTCGTAGTTCGTTAAAATTCTGCGCTATAAGTCCTATCTTCAACTCTCTTTTCGATGTTTGGAAATGTGGTCAAACACGGTCTTTCGTGTTTGATATATTACTTAAATTATAAACGTAAGCAACTCAGATATGATGACTCACCAAACGCTGGGTGCAGCTTCCCATCAAAAACACTTGTAAGCTCTTTGGAATACCAAATGTTTAAATTCTTGTAGTAAGCAATAGGGTATGTGTCTTTCCCTAGATAGTAGTCGCCGCGCGTCTTCATTCCGCTCGGGCTATTCCCGCAATGATAGGGCGGAATCTGACTATACCAGGAGTCAACGTACACAGTTAGCTTTCCGACCTGCTCCCATACGAGCCCGAGATAAAACCACACCCCCAGGGGTGGAGAAATGACCCGGGAACAGTACTTGTCTTTGCCATACACCATCACCCGAAAATTGTCCTTGAAGTATATATTAACACCTTCATACAAGTTTTCGTTGGCATCTTTATTTCCGAAAAAGATCTGCCAGCCAGATTTTGGCATCAACTTCAGAAAGAATCCAATGGTTATGTCGCAGTTTGATGGATGCTCTAAGCAGTTTTTATCATACCCCTTTAGCTTAACGTAGGTGCCAGTGGTTCCATCAAGATAGAGTCCCTTTCCTACTGGTGAATGCGCATGTCTCGCGTTCCCGTACACTTCCATATGTTTGTTTAAATTGTCAAAAGGCCAGATATCAGGTTCACTGCCTGTTGAGACAATGCGAAAAGACAAAGCTGATGCGTCAAAGTACTCAAATCAGTAAACTGCAGTATGGGGGTTTTGTTTTCGCTGATCGAGCCCCGGATAAGTTTTGGTTTATCTTAAAGTCTCAAAACGTCGAGGGTTGGAAAGAAGGCACTCAAGATACTGTCCTCAAGCCTCCTCTGTTGCCGCTCGCCCAATCAAGATGTGTTCGCTCAAAAAGTACCTCTACATTGCAGCCAAACAGTTCAGTGGACTTTATTTCTGTTGTTGTTACTTGTCACTTTGTCATTTCCCCATGTACAGCATGGTGAAACGTCTCGCTAATGATGGTGCCTAGTATATAACTCCGTTACCGCACACCAAAAGCCTTATTAGAACATTTTTGATCAAGAGTTAACAAGCAATTTTTATAGTCGTCTTCGTGAACGCGTGCTAAAGAAATAAGTGACCACTATCACAAACCAAAATAAATCAGATTTTAGTGGCTTCGCGAAGTCTAGTGATATTTATTAGTAATCGGACAGCAACAATGACAGCAATAGTATCACAAAACAACAGGCCTGTTTTCACTAGAATGTCGATGGCAATTCGCGATTGCTTTGGCATTACATTGCCATGCTATGCAATTGGCATAAAAAGTCTCGCTCTAACTTGTCATCCAATCAGAAGTAAAGCAAAAACCAATCATGTCTCGCTCGCACACGTTTTTCTGTGCTTTGCGTCGGCTACATGTCTTTGCTTAGACGATTTTGATTGGTCAGTGATTACTTTGGTTCTGGTTTTACGACACTCAATTGAAAACCACTCTATTACGGGAATATAAAATGTTACCTGCCACAAGCGAAACACCTCTCAGCGGACCAAGCTTGCCTGTTAACACCACACATAGGAGGAGACTAATCTGAAGAATCGAAAATAAGGCAAAAAGAAGATGTTTGGCGTGAAAACGTTCAAAATCGACATGTAAATAAGACAAGTAAAAAAAAGCAGCATCAGCAATAATGCGACCTCAGTAGAAAATAAGAACTCAAGTGAGAAATATTGCATAGCTTCAGTAAATTTTCGTTTTGCTCAGTTTTCAGTTTTTTTAAAAATATATTTTAGCATCAACCATTCGTTTTACAAGTTTAATCGAGTTAACCAAGGAAGGGATCTTGTAAGAACAAATGAATTCCTCGTTATTAGCATATCAGCACAATGACAAAGTCACACGTGGAAAATTAGAGCAAACGACACGTTGTTCTCGTTTTCATTAAACTCAAATGTACGGGAGTAAGATAATAATGTCAAAATGGCGAGCTAAACACTCAAAATGAAGCATTTTTAAGCCCGATGAAAAACTAAGAAACCATTTCGGTTTCCTTCTTAGTCGCAGTAAAAAAAGAAACTGCTTATGAATATCGATGCTGTTAACTCATAGCATTGTGAAACCCTGATTAAATACTACGTAAGATTGAATGCAAGTGAGAAGTGATGTCATACCTTCAACATAAAATGAGGAGTTTCGCCAGCAGTATCCATGCAAACTTCTTTTTCGACCATAGATACATCCAATAGCCTTGTTTTACAGCGTAATAACGGATTGTAGTGTTCCTCTCAATGATTACTGTAT